TCCCTTCACCCCCTCCTCCCTTCCCTATTTACAAAAACTTTATTTCCATTTTTTCATATTTTTTTCTTTTCCCTTATTTCCTTTCCCCTACCCTTCCCACTTCCCCTACACCTTTAGCCCTTTTCTTCCTATTACACATTGTCAATTATACCATTAGGATCTTATTTACAATTATAATTTTTCACACCAGAGAAACTATTCGGTATTTACACAAAAATATGGAACACTTCACGAATTGGGTGTCATCGTTGCACAGGGGCCATGCTAATCTTCTCTGTATCGTTCCAATTTTAGTATATATGCTGCTGAAGTGAGCACTGTTTTTTTTTTTGTTGTTTTCTAAGATTTTTCCTGCCTGGTAGTATATCGCAGATGATTTTGCTGTGGAGCAAGCAGTCTGTAGCTGGCACTGGGCTGTAACCTAGCATTTGGTTCTTGAGCTCTGATCTTAAGCATTACATTTTCTTTGAATTGTTTTAAAACCTTATGTTTTATTTTCCAATATTTATGTAGAAAACAATAGGGCCCGATGGAATTTCTTGGTAATGTAGCCTGCCAAACAAGTTGTTGATATGTAAGTAGGCAGGGCCAGGAGAGGATTTTACTTTTTTTTTTTTTCAGTCTTCCTTTCCTCTCTCTTCCAAAGAAGCTGAGAAGGAAGAGCAAGCAAAGAAGTGGTTGTTAACTTACTAGAGGAGCAGGGAGAGCAGGATGTGTGGTGGAGAGACACAAGATGGCAGAGATGAGGAAGGGTCACAAGATGGCGGAAGTGAAGAAGCACTTGAAGAAATGGGAGAGCTGGCCGGGTTATAGGTTGGGGGAGGTGTGAGCAGCGAGTGATCAGCCAGATTGAAGGTGGGAGTCAGGAGGGGTGGAGGACGGAGTTGGGACTAGAAGTACCTGAGAGGGCGAACAGGTCTGACGGAGGGGCGAGAGGGTAGTTAGAAGAAGTCTCCTATATAGGGGGTTTCTGACCATTTGCCATTGCATCGACAAAAGTTGTGCAAATCGTTCACTATGTTAAAATCGAGAGTGCCATTTTCCGGCCATTGAGATTCATTGTCTAATTTGTACTGAGGCCAAACTTGGTTGCAATCAAAAAACGAGTCATTTTCACTTAAAGTTGGGTCCCAGCAGTCCAAGGGAATGAAGTTGCTCCAGGAGGCAGCCAAGAGCCCTTGAGGGGTAGGAGGTTTGGATTGTAGGCGCCCATGTTTGGGCGGGTGAGGAGGAGTTAGCTCCTTAGGAGGAGGGCAAAAGAGAGAAACATCTTTGCCACTTTTGATACTCCCTGATCCAGTCCCTGGAAGGGGAGAAAGAGAGTCGGGCTATGGGGCATCCCCCAGGGGCACGGTCCTGGGCCCAGGGGCCTGAGAGGGTCTCTCTGCTGAGACCTTGGATTTCCGAAGTCTCCGGAGGGAGAGAATGAGAGTGAGACAGAGGACCTGAGTAGAGGGAAGCTAAACTGCCTGCTCACCCTGTAATCAGGTGTTGGATGTGTTTTGTCAGCAGTGGCAAAGGCAAAGTGCCCCGATCAGGTCGAGGTCCAGGTCCAGGTCCAGGTCCAGGTTCTGTAGACGCGGTCCAGAGGAGACAGCCGAAAGGCCATTCGACCCTGACCCGCGGGGGATTGTCACTTAATCAACTGCCTTCTCCTGGTTTTGGCACCAGTTATGTCAAGTTAAAAAGCCAAAAACCAAGACCAGACCAGGACCATAACAAGCCTTTATTATGGGGAGGATCTGCTGGGCTGTCTCTGAACAAAGGAGAGCCTTTTTTTTTTTTGGTACCAGGGATCAAAGTTGGCACCACTGAGCTAAATCCCCAGCCCACTAAAGTTAATTTAAGCTCCTGTATCCCCCAAAGTCTGGTCTACTTTTCCCTGCTTCTCTAGTGGGTGATGTTTAAAGCACCACTGGAGGAAAAGCTCATGAATGTGCTCATTGGTGCCCCTACAAACAATAAAGTGCGTTTAATATGTTAAATTGTGTCTTCGTTACTTTTCTCCTTGCTGAGACATAATACCCAACACCCAAAATTTCAGGGAAGAAAGGTTTACTTGGTTTACAGTTTGTAGAGGTTTCAGTCCATAGTTGGCTGACACATGGCAGAGGGCATCACAGAGGAGAAAGAGTTTATTGCAGGCAGGAGACAGCAAAAAGCAACAAGGGGCCTTAACAGTGTCTTTCTGCTCCTTTTATCTTGCCCATACTGTTTAGGGCGGGCAGCACTCACACCCTTGGTCCTCGTGCCCTTGGCATTGCCCCATGAATCAATCCCAGCATCACACACTCTAGATCCAGCCACCTCTGAAAAAGCCCCACCTATGATCACATGAGGTTTTGGGGAGACAGCTAAACACACTCCATAACAGATTATCAGTGCTTTTGATTAGACTTTTGTTTTGCATTCCCTCATGAAGTATTTTAAATTTTCACCAGATTTCATTGTCTAGATTTACAGTCCAGTAGCTAATTATCAGCAGCTGGCTTATCTCTTTTCCATTATGAAAACTGGGGCCTTAGGTGTGAACTCCTCAAATCCTTGTGCCCAGCTTCTCTTATGTCACCATTCATTTCTGCTACCGACCGTAGGGGAGCAAAGACTGGATTTCACGAGGAGAACAGGGATCTTCAGAAAGGTGGGAGCAGGTTCGGCGCGCGACAGTCAGAAACCACACAGCACTGAGTAGTGAAGGTAGTAGCTGCTGCAATTTTATTTCTAACTCTAGATGTATATATATACTAGTTTCAAGGGCACACTTCAAGAGTGATTCCAGTCACAGGCAGGCATGAGAAAGATAGACAATAGTACTGTAAAAGCTAAGACCACAAGGTCAAGGTGAGACCACACCTATACGCAGTCAGAAGGGGAAGTTTGTAAAACAAAGGACTGGCTTCAGCATGTCACCTTCAGGATCACCTTCAGGAATTCACAGTGTGGGGCTCAGGGTCAGCACTTTGGCCGCCCATCCTCTTGTGCCCCAACACCTCCCCATCTCTAGGAACATCTAATTGTTCCTGATCTTTCCTGGGCCCAGAATACAATTCTACAGATAATGAACAAATAGTAATAAAGACAAAATAGAACAGAATTATAAATGAACCCAATGTCCCCAAACTGCAGGCTGACTCTTCGCATGCGGTGTGTGCCAAGGACTTCCAGGAGGCTTAACCCCGTGGGGACGATACCTCGGGTCTGGTTTCTGCCAGGTGACCGGCATTGTCACGCAGACTCCACTGGAGTGGCCGTGGCACATTTCTTCCTTCAGTCTCCTGAGATTGGGTATTCTTTCTTTCTTTCTTTCTTTCTTTTTTTTTTTTTTTTCAAAACAAGCCCATCAGCTCACATTCCTGACCCATTCATTACCTATCTCTTCTGGGATTTTGTTTTGCTCATTTTCCTCTTTCTGCCCCCTTTCCCCACTTTGATGCCTATTGGCTACCTTTTTGAATGTTTAGTTTGTAATTTTCAAATCTGGTTGTACATTAATGTTACTGAGAGTATTTTTAAAATACTGCTATCTGGGCCCCATTCCAGGAACTATGATTTAAATTAGTCTTGGGTAAGGTCCAGGAATCGATAATTTTTTTAAAGCTTTTAAGATTGTTCTCATTGTCACCAGGGTTGAGAACCACTGCTCCAGTTGCTGACTAGTCTTATCTTTTCATTTTCAACAAAATGTGTTGAGATACCTACATTTACTTTGTATACTTTCTTATTTCCCATTATTTCTTTAACTAGTATTGTTTGGCTCTTCTTTCACTAGTGACAAACCTAGCAAATCCGATCAAATCTTTATTGTGTAAATCAAATCACAGAATTCAACTTGTTTGGTCTTTTGCTTCCTTCTTGAAATTCCAAACTACTCTGATACCCATGACAGTACATTTTCTTGATTTACCTCTTCTCTGACTTTTCCTTCCTTTTGGGGGTGGGGGGGGTGGGTTGCTAGAGCTTGAGCCCAGGGTCTTGTGTATGCTAAGCACGCACCCTGCCTCTGAGCTATAACCTAACTGACTTTTCCTCTTTTGGGTACTTTCTGAGTATTGTCTTTCCTTCATTCTGGTTTTCTTCTTACTCTGCAGGATTTCACAGCTTCACAAGTATTGAATAATAGTAGATAATTATTGTATGAGGCTCCCCTGTGTGTTTTTCAGCAGCTTCCCTGGTTTTCAAATGCACGCCTTTAACACCTCCCCACCCCAACTCCAGTTTTGACAACCAGAAACATCTCCTGGAGGTAAAATTGTCCCTGGTTGAGAACCACTGATCTATGACTTCTCTGTGGCCATTCTCAAGTTCCCTCATACCTCTAATAATTACCTATATGCCAAGGAGTCTCAAATCTATATTCCCATTTTGACCTTTCCTAATCCAAGGCTTGAGTGTAAAACCTTTTTGGTTTTCAATGCTACAGATTGAGCCAAGGGTCTTTTTTGTTGTGCTAGGCCAGAGCTCTATTACTGAACTATATCCCCAGCCCCACAGCTTCTTGTTAGACACTTCATCTGAATAGTATTCCATAGGTACCCCAAACTAATGGCAGCTAAGGTCTTTCCTTCCAAACCTAATCTTTTTTCTTTATTTCTGATTTTGATTAGAAATATCACTCCCTACCCAATTCAGAAAACTAGACATTAACTTTAGTATTTTTTTCTCCTAGTTATTATGCCTATCCAGTTAGTCACTGAACCTTTTGATTTTTTTTAATTTCCTGTTTCTCAAATTATATTTTGTTGAGCTCTTTGCCCCCTGATTTACATACATATCTTTTCTTGCTTACTTTCACTGTTACATTAACCTCCTGATTCTTTTCCTCCTCAAGACTTTGCCCTTTTAAAATCTAGTTATATATAACCTTTGTGGGATTTTCTACCTAAATTTTTAAATACATATCCATGCTGCTGCTTAAATATCCACTCTATTGTCATAGGGTCCATAATTTGACTCTATGTTTTGAACTCTCGACAGCCTTGTTTCCTGTTACCTCCTATTTGTTTTCTACTCATTAACAGACTTAAATTTTCTGCATGTACTGTGCTGACTGGATTTCTATACCTTTACCTAATCTGTTTTCTTAGGTAGAAATACCTCTACTGCTTTCATAACCTAATCAGTACTCCGCCAAACTAGGAAACTGTCTATAACCTTCCAAAACTCTATCAGATACTCTTCCTTTGTACTCCCCATAGCATGGTATGTATGTCTCTATTATAGTTCTAACTATGATACAGTTGTATATTGATACTAGATAGCATTCATTGAACACACTATGCCAGACCTAACATCTAATGTCCCAACAACCTTATGAGGAA